CTTTCCCTGCTTTAAAATTCCAGGGGCCCCCCCCCCCCCAATTTTCAGTTGGCAACACTGGGAAATTTGGAGGAGCACTGGGGGAAAAAACCTCCCATGAAATATTTTCTCCTTTTGAGTGAGAAAAATTGGGTTTTTTTAAAACAAGGGTTTTCTCACTCTAAATATAAAGCATGAAAAAGACTGAAGTCCCCCCAATTTTTCCAGTGGAAATGTTGGGAGATTATGCTGTCCCCCGCCTCAGCCTTCAGAGACTGCACCATCGATTTAGAGACAATTAGAGAGGTCAGGACACACAGAGCATCCTTTCCTTCCTGCTATTTGCTACTATCTTTTTGAAGTAGAATGCTGTTCTTAGGGAAGAGAGTTCTCTTTCCGGCTTGACAGTCTCTCTCTCTCTCACACACAAATTCTCTTTCCAGCTTGACAGACTCTCTCTCTCACACACACAAAGAAGGAGCACACACTCTCCATCTTTGCCACCATAGATGCAGGAAATGCATTCTCCATCTGCATCCATCTAGCTAGTTAGACTACATTCAAGTCCTATCCCTCGACCTGCGCTATCTAGAATGTAGTTCCTTGAATAAAGATTTCTTATTAGTTTGAAACTGATAAGTGGCTCCGTGTAACTCTGTACGTTTGTTAGCACCCACAGTACTCAGAAACGACTGCTGTGCATAGTCTAGTGCATGATGCTACCAATAGAGATTCCTGGCTGTACCATACCAGTGAATCTAACAAGTTCCAGGTTGGGAGATCCCTGGAGATCTGGGGGTGCAGCCTGGCCAGGGAGGAGTTTCGGGAGGGGCGGGGACTCAGTGGGTTACAACGCTGTAGAGTCCACCCTCCAAAGCAGCCATTTTCTCCAGGGGAGCTGATCTCTGTCGTCTGGAGAGCAGTTGTACTTCTGGGAGATCTCCAGGCCACACCCGGCCATTGGCAATCTTACCCCTCCCCAGTCCCAGGAAACACCCCGACGTGCCGGAGCAAATGCCGGTGGGACAGTTGAGGCCAGAAGCCCAGGGGAGGAAGTGGGGGAGGAGGAAGTGGGTTGGGCCTGTGGGGAGGAATGGACAGTCCCGGTCTCTCCACCCTCTCTGGGTCGTGAGTTGCGTGGGTCAGGACTTACCTGGGCAGGCAGCTGTGTTGCAGCTCTCGGACTGTGACCGCGGCCCCTGGCAGCGCTGCGCTCCTGCAGGGTGGCGGGCAGAGCGCCATCGCACACGGAAGCCCCCACTGCAGGGCTCACGACATGGGCTCCAGGGACTCCACTCACTCCACAGGCAGAAGTCTGGCAGGGCGCAACACCCCCCCCCAAAAAAGAGGAGCTCAAGCCCGCCAGCCAGCCACACAGCTCCGTGCGGGGCTGAGCTGGCCCACCTTCGAGGACCTTTCGCGTCTTTGACAGACTAGTTGCCCCGGTAGAGTCCTGGGGGGGTTGGGGGAGCTGCTTCACTGTAGGCAAAGCTCCCCAGGGTGCCCTAGACAAACTCCAAGGGCACCAGATGGGGGTCAGGGAAAGGAGGGGGGGGGAGAGTCAGCAGCCAAAATGGAGCAGGGGCGTCAGCTGTGATCCGGAGTGGAGGACTCGTGTCCCCACCGCACCCTCCACCCCCGAGCCACCCTCCCTCACCCTGGCCCAGCCCTCTGGGGAACACCCAAGTCACCTTCGCAAGCGTGAGGGTCCGGGCAGAGGCGCTCCTGTTCCACGTCCGCCGAGCACAGGGCAGCCTGCCCTGCCCACGGCTTGCCCGTCTGGGGGTCCAGACACACCCGGTAGCGATGCTGCACGGACACCAGGGCGGAGTGGGGGTGAGGGGCCTCCACGGGCCCGTGGGGGTCCCGAGCCAGGAGGGCAGAGGCGGCGCCGGGGCTGAGGGCCATCCAGGGCAGGCAGGCGGAGCAGGGCGTCCACTCGGACCAGGCGCTGAGGGGGAGGAGGCCTGGTGGGGACAGGGGGCGGAGGAAAGACACTCATTATTATTATTATTATTATTATTATTATTATTATTATTATTAATAATAATAACATAATAATAATAATAATAACAACAACAACAACAACAACAACAACTTTCGATTTATTGATCGCTCAATCCTGCAGGGCTGCTGGCTCTGAGCGATTTACAGCTACACAAGTTTTCACAAGGAAAAGGGATCCCTTTTGTCATGGAGCCAGGGCCTTGCCTGAGGCTCAGTCCTCTGCTAAACCTATGTGATTTTAATTTGTATAGCAATTAGTAACTAGTTGACTCTTTGGTTCTGTTTCCCAGTAGGCTTCAGGACTCCGCTAAGTGCTGTGGCCTTCAGGTAAAGAGAACCCTGGACATGATTTTCGCTGCACATGACTTGGGTTTATCCATCTTCATATTAGTGGGGGAGGTTATGAGGGCGTTAAGAAAGCACTCATGTTCTAGGGTTGCAATGCCGTACGATCCAGATGGTACAGGCAGGCAGAGTTGTGCCAAACCCAGGGGTCCGTCTTTGGGGTGCCACAAGAAATTCTTGCTTGCCTTTGTGTGATTTCTAGGGCCAAAAGCTGTATCCTGTCCCCTTATACGCTGCCATGGGGGTTGGGGACCTCGGTCTGTGTCTGGTTAATTGCTACTGCATTCCTTTCTGTGCTTGTTCTGCTTTGCACCGAAATGCTTATCTATACAGATGTGCAGGAGGGAGTTGTATTGTCTGGAGTTTTCCTAGGTGCCGTGGGAGAGTGTTGGTTCTCAGCTTCAGCTACCTAACGGTCTCCTAGCATTAACCCGTGCGCAGGAGGGTGCCTTATTGGCCAGTGCTGTGGGGGGTGTGTGCATACGAATACCCTATATCCTCTTATGCCCATGGGGCTGCCGCCATTCTTAACAGTGCTTATGTTACTGCATCTATAGCTCTGCAATAAAAGTATTACCGTTCCTGAATGTGTGTACTTCGTTGTTGGCTGTGGGTTCTGACACCTGTGGTGTTTGTCAAGTGTGCCCTGCTGCTGCGTATCCACTGCAATCACCGCTAACGCCAGAGCCACCACACTGCGGTGCATTGTGAGTCAGAGCCCACTTCATCAGATGACTCATTTAGCGAGCACAAAGAGACAAAGAGACACCCCAGATTCCAAACCGCAGAAGCATGTATTTGTTTGTTTGTATGTATGTGTGTGACTGCAATCACCGCTAACGCCAGAGCCACCACACTGCGGTGCATTGTGAGTCAGAGCCCACTTCATCAGATGACTCATTTAGCGAGCACAAAGAGACAAAGAGACACCCCAGATTCCAAACCGCAGAAGCATGTATTTGTTTGTTTGTATGTATGTGTGTGGGGACGTGGAGGTTACATAAGAACATAAGAACATAAGAGACGCCAATGTTGGATCAGGCCAAAGGCCCATCCAGTCCAACACTCTGTGTCACACAGTGGCCAGAAATACCAGTGCCATCAGGAGGTCCAGCAGTGGGGCCAGGACATTAGAAGCCCTCCCACTGTTGACCCCCCCCAAGCACCAAGAAGACAGAGCATCACTTGCCCCAGAGCCCCTAGCTATACCTTGTGGCTAATAGCCACTGATGGACCTCTGCTCCATATGCTTATCTAATTCCCTTTTGAAGCCATCCATGCTTGTAGCACCCACCACTTCCTGTGGCAGTGAATTCCAAGTGTTAATCACTCTTTGGGTGAAGAAGGACGTCCTATCCCCAGCATAGCATTGGCCTTCTTTATTGCAGTCACACACTGTCTCGACATTTTCAGTGAGTTATCCACTACAACTCCAAGATCTCTCTCTTGCTCAGTCTCTGCCAGTTCAGACCCCATCAATGTGTATTTATATTTAGGATTTTTGGCTCCAATGTGCATCACCTTGCACTTGGTCACATTGAACCCCATTTGCCATGTTGACGCCCACTCGCCCATCCTTGACAGATCCCTTTGGAGTGCCTCACAATCCTCACTGGTTTTCACCACCCTGAACAACTTTGTATCATCTGCAAATTTAGCCACTTCACTGCTTACTCCCATCTCCAAATCATTTATGAACAAGTTAAAAAGCAGTGGACCAAGTACTGATCCCTGCGGTACCCCACTGCTTACCACCCTCCACTGAGAAAATTGCCCACCTACACTCACTCTCTGTTTTCTATGAACTAGCCAGTTTTTGATCCATAAAAGGACTTGTCCTTCTATCCCATGATTTTTGAGCTTACTTAGGAGCCTTTGATGAGGAACTTTATCAAAAGCTTTCTGGAAGTCAAGGTAAATAATATCTATTGGATCCCCCTTCTCAACATGTTTGTTCACCCCCTCAAAGAACACTAACAGGTTAGTGAGACAAGATCTTCCCTTACAGAAACCGTGCTGAGTCTGCCTCAATAGGTTTTGTTCATCTATGTGCCTACTAATTCTTTCCTTAATAATGGTTTCCACCAATTTACCCGGTATCGACGTCAGACTGACTGGCCTGACTGGCCTCTCTACTGTTTGCTGCTCTGGGTATAAGACTAGGGTTCCCAAGTACTTACCGCAATTCGGGGGGGGGGGACGACACATGCTCCCCGGCTGGAACATTCCTCCCTATAATGCACCATGCCATCGCCAGGAAGTGATGCCGGGCAACGCTCTGACAATGGGGCTGAAAACTCGATGGTACCACCGAGTTTCCAGCCCCATTGCTAGAGCGTTGCCCAGCTACGTGCCTATGGAATGGTCCTGGGAAGACTTATGTGTCCCCCGCCAAATCGTGGTAAGTACTTGGTAAGCCTGTATAGGACGGACAGGTCGATTCCGGCAGGAGCTCTTGCGATCCTCTCACCTTGGCAGCCTTCACTGCTGCACTGGAGCGTCCCTCGCTGGCACAGGCTGCAGAGAGGGAGCGGTCAGTTAGCGCGGCCCAAAGGCACCCAGGAGAGCACCCCCAGGTCCCGCTGCCCCCCGCATACGAGCCGCTGGCATCCTCTCACCATTCCTTGCATCCAATCCAAACCGTGTCTCCTGCTGCCAGGTACGTGGGGCCTTCCGATTGGTTGAAGTGAAGGCAGCCACACTGAGAGGGCGGGACACAGGCCCCCTTCTGCTCCACCAGGCCCTGGAGTGACAGAAAGAGACGGGGGTCCAGGAGAGGCTCTCTCAGTGGCCCCTGGGGGTTGCGGAGTAGCTGCTCGGTCACTTGTGGGGTGCGGGGATTTGGTCTCTGCAGGGCGGGGGCTTCACCAAGCCTCCTCAGGCTCAGGCAGGGGGTCTTAAATGCCCCAATCCATGGGGCCAGTGGCAAACAGGAGGGTCTTCTCTTCCTACTGTGGGATGATGGATCGCACCTTGGGGTGTTCTGTGCGTCCAGGCCTCCCCTTAACCCAGGGAAGGAGAAAATGGCACCCAGCTTAGAAATATGGTACAAGAAACTTTGGAGTCACTATTTAATGGATGCAGTCACTAACAAATTAAATTACATGTCGCAAAATCCCTCAAAATCTAATTTCACAGAGAAATGCTTCCCAATTCTTGACTACCTGTCTCATAAACAATACATCTCACCTGAATGGTCTCAATACCACAAATGGATTTAATGTCAACGGATACCTTGTTTCATAAAATCTTACACTTATCTACTTCTTTCCTATCTATTATTTGTAATATTTCTCCTCAAATCTTCGAAATTGTCTACAGTCATGCAGAAATAGTTATTGTTTGTCAATACAATGTTTTTTGTTATACCACTTTAGTAGTTCCAAACAGTTCCAAATTTTTTCAATTAAGTCCAAGATATGTTTATTACATATAGACGGGAAAAGATAGACTCTGATCTGTACTGAGCAACGTATTGTGATTCATTTAGCACGTTATAACTCTGTACATATTTTATGAATATATTTTTGATGTTATTGGAACAACACATGTTAATTGTTACATGATAAAAATTTAAAAAAAATTTAAAACCCCAGGGTAAACGAAGACTCAGCTCCAGAACCTATTTCCAGTGCTATTACCCAGCGGAGTATTTCTGAGTGTGTGCAAAGGGCAGCTGTGTGAGCTTGGGCTTCTGAGCAGACCTCGCACCCGGCTCCTGTCTGTCTTCCCATCAATCGCAGTGCTCAGGGCCCAAATGTTGGCAGCTGCTTCTTACCCATCCCGCCACAGGGAGTTCCACCCCCCCCCAAAAAAAGGTGCCCGCATCCCTGACCTGTGGGCAGTAGCAGCCAGGCAGGCAGCGGGGGATGTCCTGGCACAGCTCCGGGTGCTGGAGGGTGGAGCAGAGGCTGTCGCAGGGGGAGCCGCACTCCTGGAACTCAAAGGGGGCCTCACAGCTGGACTCTGGAAGAAGAAGGGGGTAGGCAGGGAAACAGGTTAATGCAGGACCCTCGGGGGACCCTTCCCACAATCTCTGCTATGAATGAGTGTGGTGCACGGGACACAGGCATGCCTGCATGATCTAGGTCAGGGGTCCTGGACGTAGTTCCCTCTAAGCTGCACCAGGGGGTGCTGGTGCACAAATTTTAACAGGCAGCGCAGGGACTCCTGCTCCAGCCCACAAGGCATTTTTCCCTCCATTGGAAACGATGGAGGATGGGGGCACCTCCTTTGGGGGTCCATAGAATTGGACCCCTCAGTCCAATCTTTTTTAAACTTGGGAAGAGGGGTTCAGGAGAGGCACCATCAGCTATCCTGCAAATATGGTACCTTTATCTAAAAAAACCCCAAAACACTCCAGCCCCCAGAGCCTCAGATATCCCCAGATCGATTCTCCATTATAACCTATGGGGCCCATTGCATTCCCCTATTATGCTTTTCAGTATGATGTGTAAGCTGCTTTGAGTGGGAGTGGGGAAAGTGGGATATAAAAATATGAATAAATAAGTAGTCTGGGCAGGTTGATAACATTTAAGCCCCTTCCTGTTTGTGAGGTTAGGGTTCGACAGTGATTGTTCCACCTCTGTTATACTTGACCTGTAATTTGTCATATTTTACTAAAAACACAAGGTAGACTACAAGAGTCCTCCCATTCCCCTAGTGCTGGTATGTTTTCTAAGGCTCAGCACAGGGCGAGGGTCCGAGGTCATGTCTACCAATACAGTGGAAAGGGGGAGGGGTGGAATTTGACTTGATTCTGTTTTCTCTTATGTTTAAATTATTCTTAAAATATAGTTTAAATATAATTTTAAAGAATTTATTCTGAGACTTTAACAAGGTTATGGAAGCAATCATCTAAAAAACTAATTTACCCAATGGTCAAATGTGGACTCGCTCACAACTTTAATGCTACTAGCTTTCTTCGTTCACGAGGTAGAATTTCTGCTCACAACACTGTGGAGCTTAGGGGGAACTCCTGGATCTTTTTGAGCCTGCGGGCGCCTTTGGAATTCTGACATAGCGTGGTGGGCCAAGCCACAAAATGGCTGCCGCAAGAGGTAGACCCACCCACAAAATGGCTGCCACATCTTACCTTTAGGTACACAGTGAAGATCCTTGTGCTGTGGTGGCAGTTGCTGCTAAAATGACGTTTTAAACAATCTGCCCAGCCAATCAAATCTCCAGTGGCCAATCAGAAGCCTTGCTGGGCAAAAGCCCCACCTGGCCCCGCCCACTTTCTAAAAATACTTGGCAGGCACCATGTTGGCCACCCCCTAGGCGAATCCTAGGCAGGCACCCACCTGGACATTACCTACAGGCTGTCCCTGCAGACGGTGCCCCTCTGATGTCAGATCTGGGGCCAAGCTGGGATTTCCGCTTGGGCCTGCCTTATCTCAACACAGAATGTTGCCCCCCCCCACTTTCCCTCCAAGTATGCCCACGGGGCGGGTGGTGGAGGAGAGGGTTCTCTCACCCGAGCACTGGGAATAGTCACACATGCGGAACTGCCCATCCAAGCCCACGCAGGGCTCCCCGTCAGGCTCCAGGCCCTGCTGGTTCCGGTATCGCTGCTGTACCAGGAAGCTGCACGAACACTCAGTCCACCGCGTCCAGGAACTCCAGGGACAATCTGGGGGGAGGAAGGGGAGCAGAGGAGAAGGGGGGGCAGCTGGCCAGCATCCCACCAGTCAGGTACTTAGATGTACTTAGATGTACAGTCCGGGCCGTGTGTGTGTGTGTGTGTGTGTTTCATGGTGGGTGACAGCTGATTAAGAAATCTCTGCGTCCAAAAACAACAGCACAGCTTTCGGGACCAGGGTTCAGGCCCAGACCATTCAGAAGTTCAAGGAAAAGCCAGAATCATTCTCTGAAGGCCCGTTAAGGCAGGAGGCATGCCCCATCTCCACCCCACCTTGTGCAAACTCTAGAGAGGACGGGGATCCTGTGTTTGCCTGGAGAAAGGCTGTTATCCGGGGGCAGATCTGGCCTGAGCAAACAAGGATGGAGGCTGGCTGAAGAAAGGGGCAGCCTGGGGTTCTTCACAACTCTGCTCACCTTCGCAGGCCCAGAGATAGCACGCCTGCATATCCTGGCGGGTCTCATTCTTGCAAGGAACCCCAGTTGCCTCAGAGGGCGGGCAGGCACACACCCCTGTACGGGCGGTCAAGCCCGTGCCACAGGACCTTGAACACTGACTCCAGGGGGACCACTGGCAGAGCTCAGCCCCTGCGGGGGAGGGGGGAAGGGAGGAAAGGAGGGAAAAGCAGCTGGTAAAGGACAGTGGCATTTCTTGGGTCTGCAGAAATATGTTAGTCTGTTACTGTGAATGAAGCTTGAGCTGCTCCAAGGTTTTTTCCTGTTTGTTCTTATACCTCTCTTGCCGTGGTACACTGTCCCTGAACACAGACGCTCCATTGTGTTAGGTAGAAAAGAGCGAGAGTCCAGTAGCACCTTAAAGACTGACATTTGTGGCAAGGGAGGAGCTCTTGAGGGTAATCGCTCACTTCTTCAGATACGGTTAAGGTTCTAACGGCTAATACTGCCAGTCCTGGACACCAGGAAGTGACCACTCCCTTTTAAAAACCACTTCCACTGGTGTGTCTATAAATGGCAATGAACTTTCCCCACAAATCCCTGCATCCTGAACTGCCTGCCTGTGATCAGTTGTCTTGGCCCCTGTGTGAGACTGGAGGCTGGACTAGATGGACCTGCACTGGTCTGACCCAGCAGGGCTCTTCTGAGGTTCTTATCAGGGGAAGGCCTCGGCCTCTCTGCCCTGTTGCTGGCCCTCCAGAGGAACTGGCTGGCCACTGTGTGAGACGGGAGGCTGGACTAGATGGACCCTCACTGGTCTGACCCAGCAGGGCTCTTCTGAGGTTCTTACCATGGGAAGGCCTTGGCCTCTCTGCCTTGTTGTTGGCCCTCCAGAGGAACTAGTTGGCCACTGTGTGAGACGGGATGCTGGACTAGATGGACCCTCCCTGGTCTGATCCAGCAGGGCTCTTCTGAGGTTCTTATCAGGGGAAGGCCTCGGCCTCTCTGCCCTGTAGTTGGCCCTCCAGAGGAACTGGCTGGACCCTGTGTGAGACAGAAGGCTGGACTGGATGGACCCTCAGTGGTCTGATCCAGCAGGGCTCTTCTGGTGTTCTTCTCAGGGGAGGGCCTCGGCCTCTCTGCCCTGTTGCTGGCCCTCCAGAGGAACTGGCTGGCCCCTGTGTGAGACAGGAGGCTGGACTAGATGGACCTTCCCTGGTCTGATCCAGCAGGGCTCTTCTGATGTTCTTATCAGGGGAAGGCCTCGGCCTCTCTGCCCTGTTGTTGGCCCTCCAGAGGAACTGGCTGGCCCCTGTGAGAGACGGGAGGCTGGACTAGAGGGACCCTCCCTGGACTGATCCAGCAGGGCTCTTCTGATATTCTTATGTCAATTAGAACACATAAAATACAGCCAAAGTGTAGGATCATTTAAAAACACATTAAGGAAATCCATGCCAACAATGGAAATGCCAGGGTAGGCCTTCAGAGGTTAGGAGTTCCAGAGCCGTGGTGGCCACCACAGAAAAGGCCCTTCCCAATTCAATGGGGCGGTCCACTGACTTCCACTCCTACCATCAGGCCCATTCCGCCACCCCCTGGCTGTCCCTTAATCCACTTGCAGAGCTCATCTTTGACCCCCTCCCCTCTGCATCCCTCTCTGGTTGGTCAGATATGAACTGAACCCCCCCGCCCCGCCCCCAGGGTTGCCAGCCTCCATCTGGGGCCTGGAAATATCTTGGAATTACAGACGTTCTCCAGACAGCATAAATCAGGATGGGCAGCCGCCGTGTTTTAGTCCGTCTATAGCAGTGAAAAAGGACAAGCGTTCAGGAGCACCCTAAAGACTGACAAAATTTGTGGCAGGGGACTCCGTAGAATCATCCCCTCCCCTCCCCAAACGCCTCTCCCAAGTCTCCAGGAATTTACTGGCCCAGAGTTGGCAACCCTACTGCCCCACCTGGGCACTGCTTCTTGTCTTTTTGCACAAGGCGGGGGGGGGGGCATCCGACAAAGAGAAGTCCTTCGGGGTCTCATCCCTGCAGGAGCAGCATCTGTGCCCACTGGCGCCCTCACCTGGGCAAGGCTGGGCGGTGCAGTTCTGAGCCTGCGTCTCAGGGCCGGGGCAGGGGGAGCCATTGTTGCGTGGTGGGGGGTTGATGCATGCCCGGGTGCGGATCTGGGTGCCGCGGCCGCAGGTGACAGGGCAGTCGGACCAGGGCGACCAGGGGGTCCAGGCTCCATGAACTGTCGGTGTAGAAGAGAAACAATTTTTAATTTTTGTTATTTTTTGGATTGTATTCCACCCTCCCCTTGACGGATGAGTTCTGTCAAGGGGTTGATGTGGCAGACCACGGCGGGAGGAGGCTGTGCCCATACCAACCTCACCCAAACTATCTCCCAACTAGAGATTCGCTGGCGGTCCAGCCTTTCACTGTTCATTCCAAATCAAGGTGTGAGAGAGGCAGCCCACTTGTTCACACCTAACACCCGCCCCTCTGATTCCTCAGTCTCGATCAGTGTTCCCTCTAAGCTGAGTCAGTGTGAGCTAGCTCACAGTGTTTTAGCCTCCGACTCACCCATTTTTACCTTAGCTCAGGAAGGATGGCTGCAGAGCAAATTAATTTCTGTAGGAGCCAAATCCCTTGCTCACAACTCTAATGCCAGCAGCTCACAAAGTAGGATTTTCGCTCACAAGACTCCACAGCTTAGAGGGAGCATTGGTCCCGAGTGAGGTTTTCCCCTGGCAAGCTGTCTGGTCCCTTCCTGCGTAGAAGCTATACTGTCTGTCAATACGCCGTGACTTCCTCCTGCCAGGTTAGAATGTTTGTGAACAGAGCCTCTTGAGGAAGTCGGCCCATCAGCTGTTCTAGCTCCGTACTGCTTATCCTGGCAGGCAGCATCTTTCTCCAGGTCCTTCCCAGCACCGGGGACTGAACCTGGGGCCTTGTGCATGTCTAGTCCTGCTTTCACGTGGCACGCTGGAGCCAAACCGGCTTCCGAAGAGAACTGAGCCTGCCCTTCCAACGCTGCCCCCCCCCCTAACGTGTCACCAGTGATGAATCCACCGGTGCTCTAGAGGCATCATGTGCTGATGCCCTTGCCAAAGCTGCAGAGCCAACTCACCTGCACATGCAATGTCCATGCAGTAGACGCCCTCCGGGGTGCAGATGCTGGGGAAGGGGGCAGAGGACAGCATCAGTGCCAGGGGTGGACGACCCCTGCTCCACCCAGCCCAGGAGCTCTGCAAAAGGGCAGTTGCCCAGCTTAGCTCAGGGCAAAAATATTTGCATAATACGGAGAGGACTTTCAACAGCATGGGTCACAACCTGTCAGTCTTGATGGAGCTATTGCAGGCATTCCGGGCTACGGAATGGAGCTATTGCAAGCATTACAAGGGTTACAGGATGGAGCTATTGCAGGCATTCTGGGCTACGGAATGGAGCTATTGCAGGCATTCCGGGCTACCGAACTGAGCTCTTTCAGGCATTCTGGGCTACAGAACAGAGCTATTTCAGGCATTCTGTACTACAGAACGGAGCTATTTCAGGCATTCCAGGCTACAGAATGGAGCTGTTGCAAGCATTCTGGGAAACAGAATGGAGCTATTGCAAGCACTGAGGGTTACAGGATGGAGCTATTGAAAGCATTCTGGGATACAGAATGGAGCTATTACAGGCATTCATGGCTACAGGATGGAGCTATTACAGGCATTCAGGGCTACAGAATGGAGCTATTGCAAGCATTCAGGGTTACAAAATGTAGCTATTGCAAGCATTTGGGGCTATGGAATGGAGCTGTTGCAAGCATTCAGGGTTACAAAATGTAGCTATTGCAGGTGTTCCGGGCTACAGAAGCCCACACTGACTACAATAGGAGGCACACAGAGGTGCTCCTTGGGGGCCTCCTCGGCAGCAGCCACGAACCATTGCTGGCACTCTCCCAGAAGCCACATGCTACCCAGCTGCATCTCTTCGTCCTCGCGCAAACACAGCGGAGGGCAGGGGCCCGGGGCACAGTGGCGGGTCTGCAGCTGCTCTTTCAGGCACTCTGAGTCCCATGAGCCAGACGTGGCGGTCCTGAAGGGGTGACAGAGAGAGAGAGAGGCTCTTATGCCAGGCCAGAGGGCCACAGCAAGTAATCATACCAGGCACTGGGATTGCAGCACAAAAGGAAATAGGAGAGGCAGAAAGAGAGAGAGGGAGCAGCACTCCTGAACAATATCTGCATTACTCCTATAAATCCTCAAAAAATTCTACCTATCACCCCCACTCCTCACTCCCACCCATGTCATGGTCTGGCTCTAGTCTGCCAGATACAAGACCCCCCAAAACAACCCAGCAGTTATCTCCCCTGCCCTTTCCCAAGGAGGGCCGGTGCCAGAGGGGGCTCCCATTGCAGAGAGACTTTGGTCTGCTGCCCCCTCCCCAGCCTGCTCACCTGAAGCGGGTGTGTCGGCCGCTCCCGCAGGTGGCGCTGCAGGGGGACCAGGTAGACCAGAGGCTCCAGGCACAGTCGCCAGGGGGGCAGGTGTCATTGGTGCAGAGGAGTCGCCCCTCGGTGCAGGAGCAGTTGTTGCAGCCATCATCATGGGTGCTGCCTGGTGCCCAGCTGTGCCCCTGGGCATCGGTGCACTCGCAGTGGTCTGGAGAGATGCAGGCGCCGTCCTGCTCCAGCGTCCCTGGGGGCGGGGAGACTCTTCAGGATGGGAGAGGCTCAGGGGCCTCTGCCCAAGACCCACAACGGTCTACAGGAGATCAGCCATGTTGCTTGGAATTCAGCCCAGTTTATTTATTTATTGTCTTTACTGCTTTTGCAACCAGAGTCATAAACAGCAAAACCTCATCCCACAATAAGCCTCGTTCCACAGGAAAACATGGAAGAATTTAAAGGTTGTGACTGCAGAAGTTGTCATGTGATTTGACAACAGCTGCTAGAAGTTTTGCCACACGCAGAGTAGTTTGTTTGTCTCTAAGAATTCAGCCCAGTTTAAACTCTGGAATGCTACAGCCAGTGAGGCATCGTGATTTGCATGTAGGAGCAAGGGCGGGGAAGACCCAGGTTCAAATCCCCACTCAGAATGAGGCTCAGTGAGTGACCCTGGGCTAGCCTCTCCTTCATGGCTCAGTGGCAGAGCCTCTGCTTGGCATGCAGAAGGGTTTGGGGTTCAGTCCCCAGCAGCACCTCCAGTTGAAAGGACCAGGCAGGTGGTGACGTGAAAGACCCTCTGCCTGAGACCCTGGAGAACAGCTGCCAGATCGAGAGTAGACAAGACTGACCCTGATGGAGAGAGGGTCTGATTCACTACAAAGCCGCCTCATTTGATCACTGCTCGTCATCTGCCACCCTGCAGTCTGGCCTCCTCACAGGTCAGGTGTGTGGGGTGGCTGAACACACGAAGCCGCCTTATGCTGAATCAGACTCCTGGTCCATCCAGGTCAGTCTTGCCTGCTCAGACCAGCAGCCGCTCTCCAGGGTCTTCCCCATCACCCCCTGCCTGGTCCTTTTGTCTGGAGAGGCTGCCAGGGATTGAACCTGGGACCTTCTGCGTGCCAAGCAGAGGCTCTGCCACTGAGCCACGGCCCAAGCTGTGTTATACCAAGACAGACCTCAAAGTGCACGTCAGCCTTTCTTCCTCTGACTGGCAGCCAATGCTCCCTCTCAGCTGTGGAGTCCTGTGAGCAAAAACTCTACTTTGGGAGCTCCTGGCATTAAAGTTGTGAGCGAGCCATTTGGCTACTGCATCAATTAGTTTACTCTGGAGCCCTCCTTCCTGAGCAAAGACAAAAATGTGTGAGCCAGAGGCTAAAAAACTGTAAGCTAGCTCACGCTAACTCAGCTTAGAGGGAACATTGCGTCTCCAGGGTCTCAGGCAGAAAGAGGTCTTTCACATCATCTACTGCCAGATCCTTTAACTGGAGAGGCTGCCGGGGAATGAACCCGGGACCTTCTGCATGCCAGGCAGGTGCTCTACCCCTGAGCCACGGCCACTCCCCAACAGGGAGAGGGAGGCCTCGTCTGCAGTTGCACCACAACTCTGGAACTCACTGCTGCCCTCTTCATTTCAGGCGCCAGATGAGTGTCTCTTTTCACTCAGGACTCAGAGATCTGCAGACTTATGTTGCTGTTATTGGGCTTCTAAGGTCTTTCTAGGCTGTTTATCTGTGCGTGTTTTCTGGGCTGTGGATGGGCATGCTGCTTAAAGCGCTAGCAAATTCGTTGCTTGGTTGATTCAGGTGGGGTCAGCCGTGCTGGTCTAAAGCAGCGGAACAAAGTTTGAGTCCAGCCGGGCACCTTTAAGACCAACAAAGGTTTATTCAAGGTGTGAGCTTTCGTGTGCACTGCCCCGCTGGACTCTGACTTTGTTTCATCGTTTGGTTGTGATTTCAACTGCTGCGCACTCTGTTTGCAACAATCTCAAGTCGTCGTCCACTGGCCAGCCGCTCAGCAAGAGTATACAAGCAGGATGGAAACCTTTGGACAAAGACACAGATAGAAGTCTGCTCCCAAAAGACCACCCCCTTGGCCCCAAAGGCCCCCCAAGAAGCTTGTTGGCCTGGCTCCCAGCACAGCGGTGGAGTGCCGCTCTGAGAGCTTTCCTATTTCCAAGCAGAAGACACAGAGGAATGTGTAAGGAGGCATAACCTACCATCTGGGCATCGGCAGCCAGGTTCACAGTCCTCCCCGTCCTGGCACACAATGCCTTCTTGGAGGTCCCAGCAGTGGCGCGGGCACTTACTGGCACAGTCTGTCTGGTGCATCCCTGGCGGGCAGCTCTCTTCTGCGGGGTGGGGGAGGAGAGGAGTCGTTTACTGAGCAGCTGGACCGGCACAGGGAGGTGTGGGGGGGGGCTGGAGGAGCATTCAAGAGGCCTGGCCTGCCGGGGCTGCTCAGCTCAGAGGCAGGGACGGCAGGCATCGGCTTGTCCACCTCCTTCTCCTCCTCCTCCACTGCCGGCAGCCGGATCCGAGCCCCCTGCTTGCTGGTGCAGGAGGAGGAGTTGGGCAGGCCCCTTCCCGGCAGCTGCTGGCCAGGCCCAAGTGCCACAGCCCCCGGAGTGCTGCCAGAGCTCAGCCTGCTCCTAGGGCTGCCAACTCCTGCTTGGGAGATCCCTGGAGACTTGGGAGCGATACCTGGGGAAGGTGTCGTTGGGCAGGGCAGGGAGCTCCGTGGGCCTCTCCGTGATCTGGAGAACTGTTGCTGTTGTTCTGGGAGGACTCCAGGCCCCACTTGGAGGTTGGCAACCCTACTCGCTCTTGGTGGCTGTTGCCCCTCGGGGACGTCCTGGGTGCTGCTGACTGACCCGCCCTACTCCAATCCACCCTCCTGCACGGCCCTCGGAGAGATGTCCTCCCCACTCACCACAGGGCTGAGGGTTGCAGACCCGCACGTGGTACTTCTCGCCAGGGCAGGGGCGCCCTCCGTTCTTGGGTGGGGGGCTGGTGCAAATCCGCGTGCGTGCTGAGCGTCCCCCGCCACAGCTGCGGTCGCACCAGGACCAGGGGCTCCACTTGGACCAGGCGCCGTCCACTGCAGAGGAGAAACAAGAGGCCACGTGGTGACTGGCAGAGCAGCCAGGATGCCAACTCTGCCCACTGAGGGGCCACACAGGGCCTCCTTCACTCCCCCAGCTGCAGGAGAGCAGGAGGCTGCCTCCAGGGACGTTTGAATCGAGGGTGATGGCAAAGGGAGACCGGACGACTGGGGGCTGCTAGACCGGAGGTAGAAACAGAACCTGCAGAGGCAGGGAAGGAAGAAGGACGAGGAGGACGAGGAGGAGGACGAGGAGAAGAGATTGGATTTATACCCTGCACTTCACTACCCAAAGGAGTCTCAGAGTGGTTTACAATCTCCTTCCCTTCCCCTCCCCACAACAGAAACCCTGGGAGGGAGGGTGGGGCTGGGAGAGTTCTCTCGATGACTGCCCTTGAGAGAACAGCTCTGAGAGAACTTCTGACTGACCCCAGGTCACACCAGCAGCTGCATGTGGAAGAGTGGGGAATCAAGCCTGGTTCTCCCAGATTAGAAGAAGAAGAGATTGGATTTATACCCTGCCCTTCACTACCCATAGGAGTCTCAGAAGGGCTTACAAACTCCTTTCCCTTCCTCTCCACTCC